TTCGGTCGGCCACCGAATTAATTCGGTCAGGAAACGGTTAAGGATTTTTTTAGAATTCGGTTAACGGTTAATTCGGTTCGAAATCGGTTAATTAACCGAATTAACCGAATTAACCTTTAAATATAATTATATTAAGAGGCTCAATCCATTTAAAATCCATTTAAAACCCAAATCAATATTAATTTATTAAAATAATATCAAAACTAAATGCAAAATGTTTGAATCAAATTAATTAGATATTATTTATAATTAGATATTATTTAAATTAATTGTAAATTGTTTTTTTAATTAGAAAAATATTAAATTCTAAAATTCTAAAAAATTTCGGTTAATTCGAAAATTAACCGAATTAACCGAAATTTATTCGGTTCGGTTAATATTTTCGAAAAAAAAGTTTGGTTCGGTTAACGATTAAAGAAAAAAAAAGTTTGGTTAATTCGAAAATGGTAATTCGGTCGGTTCGGCAACCGAATTAACCGAATGAACACCCCTATGCACCAATGACATTGTTCGAGTATATATTTATCGATGGTAAAATGTGGATTGCGATGAGAATGAATGGTTCATTCCTCCTAATTTGGGAAGAGATTCACAGTCAATGTTGATGAGATGAAAAAGAAGAATAATAGTATAGTGAGCTGAGAGAGAAAATCAAGTGAGAGAGAGACATAGAAAACCCTTCAGTTCTACACGATGACTTGTATGTTGATCCTTAGTGTTAGTATCAAGCCCAAGATTATTATGACTATTTGTAGATTGATAAATCAAATAGATTTGACTGTCAGATATTATATTTGAATATAGTAAATTACATGGGCCTATCAGTGTTCCTGTCAATGGATTATAACTGACCGGAGACTATTTAACTCTAGATACTTCGAGTAACTCCAAATGAATAACAATGAAGGCCTTTTTCGGAGGTGATTCAAATGAGATATAACAATGTTGAAATTTCAGTTAAGATAAGATTCAGAGAAAATCAGTATTAAATTTACTCAAGGGGAGAGTTAAACTTGAGTACTCAATAACTCGGACCTTCAATCTTTATCAACTCTGTCAAGATTTCTTTAAAATAAATAATTCTAACTCTTAAATAAATTAAAATATTATTATCACCAAATAAAATATTAATCAAAATAAAAGTAATCAATCATCGAATTATATCTTATCCGCTTATCCATATATCCGTAAAGAAGAAAAATAATGAAAGAGAAACTCGATAACAATAAGAATAACATGCATGATCTTCTCCCTATTCTTTTACCTAGTGTTTTTACATAATATCCAAAGCAAAGGCCTCACTTTGTCATAAATAAATGTGTACCGTGTATCGTGAAGCATGCGCGAGTGGTGCTCCCATATTTGACAAACTTGATATCTATATTTTCCATGCATAAATGACTTGACAGAGTGCTCCCATATCTTTGAATGAAATGATTGCTTCTTAATGTCCAAATTATGTGTTGAAATAAATGAGATTTAAGAAACAAATATATAGAGTTTCATAAATTTCTTTTTGCTTTTTTTTAAAAAAATATTTTTCTATTTTTATTTATAAAAATAATTTCATTTATTATTATTATATAAACAACTCTCTCAACCGAGATTGTCAAATTTTATAATTATATCTTTTTCATTATTTCGTAGATTTTCTGGAAAAAATGAGACATCAGATCTATGGCACATGCAGTTAGGTCACGTTAGTTATTCCAAGCTAAGTGTGATGGTGAAGAAGTCGATGCTTAAGGGGCTTCTTCAACTAGACGTGAGAACAGACACAGTCTGTGCGGGATGCCAGTATGGTAAAACACACCAATTATCATATGACGAGTCAAAGTTTAAAGCAAAAGAACCGTTGGAGTTGGTTCACTCTGATGTGTTCGGACCGGTTAAGCAACAGTTAATTAGCGGTATGCGGTACATGGTAACATTCATTGATGACTTCTCCAGGTATGTGTGGGTTTTATTTATGAAAGAAAAATCCGACACATTCTCAAAGTTTAAATAGTTCAGAGACTCAGCTGAAGGAGAAGTGGGAAAGAAGATATGTTGCTTGCGCACAGATAACGGAGGAGAATATAGATCAAACGAGTTCTCTTAATACCTAAGGGAATGTCGAATACGTCATCAGTACACTTGTGCCAACACGCCACAACAGAATGGTGTAGCAGAAAGGAAAAACCGGGATCTTGCAGAAATTTGTCAAAGTATGCTATATGCAATGAACGTACCTGGAAGGTTTTGGGCTGAAGCAATGAGGACTGCAGCCTTTGTGATCAACAGACTTCCTCAACCAAGGTTAGGATTTGTTTCACCCTTTGAGAAACTATGGAACATAAAACCTACAGTTAGCTACTTTCGAGTATTTGGCTGTGTATGTTATGTGTTTGTTCCTGATCATTTACGGAGCAAGTTTGACAAGAAAGTTGTTAGATGTATCTTTGTGGGATACGACAGCCAGAGAAAAGGGTGGAAATGTTGTGATCCAATGAGTGGAAGATGCTACACATCACGAAATGTGGTATTTGATGAAGCATCTTCTTGCTGGTCCTCAGATAAGGAGGTGCTGCCAGATTCGAGAGAATTTGGAGACAAGCTGCAACAAAAGATGGAGGAGCATGCTGTTCAACTCCAAACAAGTTCAGATGAATCAGGAGATCCAAATGGCGATGATGTCGAACAAAGAGTGACTCAGAATCCTTGGCAAACTGGCGTGTATCAACAACCAAACGAAGAAGGTGGGCCTAGTGAAACAGAAGAATCAATTCCACAATCTCAACTCCGAAGGTCAACAAAAATACGAATGCCAAATCCCAAATATGCCAATGCAGCCATAATTGAAGAAGCAACAGAGCCTGAGATGTTCGAAGAAGCATCACAGAGTTATGAGTGGATGACAGCTATGAAAGAAGAGATCGATGCACTTCAGCAAAACCAAACTTGGGATCTTGTGCCAAAGAAAAAAGATGTGAAACCCATATCTTGCAAATGGGTTTACAAGATAAAGCGTCATCCAGAAGGGTCAATCGAGAGGAACAAAGCACGATTGGTAGCTCGTGGTTTCTCTCAACAGTATGGACTAGACTATGATGAAACATTTAGTTCAGTGGTGAAACTTACAACCGTACGAGTCCTACTTGCACTTGCAACCAACAAAGACTGGAACTTGTGGCAGATGGATGTGAAGAATGCTTTTCTACATGGAGAGATAGATCGAGAGATCTACATGACCCAACCAATGGGTTTTCAGAGTCAAGATCATCCTGAATATGTGTGTAAGTTGCGGAAAGCACTCTACGGATTGAAACAAGCACCTAGGGCGTGGTATGGTAAGATTGCTGAATTTCTAACGAAAAGTGGTTGTTCAGTAACACCTGAAGATTCTAGCTTGTTTTTCAAAGCCAATGAAGGTAAGCTAGCTATCGTTCTAGTGTACGTGGATGACTTAATCATAACCGGTGATGATGAGGCAGAAATTTTTCAGACGAAGGAGAATTTATCAGTTTGTTTCCAGATGAAAGAACTTGGACAACTTAAGCACTTCCTTGGTCTAGAGGTTGATCGCACACACGAAGGAATATTTCTGTGTCAACAAAAATATGCTAAAGATTTGTTGAAGAGGTTTGGAATGCTCGAATGCAAGTCAACTTCAACGCCAATGGAACCAACTGTCAAAATGTGTTCACATGAAGGAAAAGATTTGGAAGATGCAACAATGTATCGACAATTGGTAGGTAGTCTGATCTACTTAACCTTGACCCGACCTGACATTTCTTATGCAGTTGGTGTGATGAGTCGGTATATGCAAAATCCAAAGAAGCCTCATTTGGAAGCAATTCGACAAATACTGAGATATGTGAATAGTACAATTGACTATGATCTTTTGTACAAGAAAGGTGAAGACTGCAAGTTAGTTGGTTATTGTGATGCTGATTATGCAGGAGATCAACAACTGGGTATGTGTTTAAGCTTGGCTCCGGAACAATTTCTTGGTGTAGCAAGAGACAACCAACGGTATCATTGTCAACCACTGAAGCTGAGTATCGAGCAGCAGCAATGGCAACTCAAGAGAGTACATGGTTGATACAGTTGATGAATAATCTACATCAACCAGTAGATTATGCAATTCCTTTGTACTATGACAACCAATCGGCAATTCGGCTGGCAGAGAATCCTGTTTTTCATGCAAGAACTAAACATGTGGAAGTACATTACCACTTTGTTAGGGAAAAAGTTTTGCAAGAAGAGATTGAGATGAGGCAAATCAAGACAGATGAGCAAATTGCTAACTTGTTTACAAAAAGCTTGAGTGTTGGAAAGTTTGAACATTTCCGTCGTCAGCATGGCGTGATTCAAAGAATGGAGGCTAACATTGAGGGGGAGTGTTGAAAATTCAATATTAGTCTAAATAAGTTCACACCTAAATTAATTTGATGTCATTGCTTACATCAATTTAGTTATGTGAAAATTACGTATTTTTCTCATGTTTTAATTTCAATGGTTTAGATTATTTAGTGCTTATTTTAATGAGTGGTTTAGATTGTTTCTTGTAACCTATAAATACCCTACTTGTATTTGAGTTTTATCATCCAACAATCAAAGGTTAATTATAAGCATTTGAAAGCTTTCTTAAGAGTTCTTCCCTTTTGTAATTTTGTGAAATTATTTTAAAGAGAGTTTTTCTTCTTCTCGATCAATTAGAGTTTTTACTCTTTCTGATTCAACAGAATTTATTTGATATTAATAAATATAAAATATTTTATGTCCATCTTGTATTGTAACAAAATTTAATATAAAATAAAAATATGTATCTTGTTTCTTATAACCTAAACCCAAATTACTCCGACCTATGTCATAATTAAAAGTAAAAGTTAATTATAAGAAAACATAAAATAAACAGGAAGGTGAGAAAGTAATATAAATAGCAAACGCAGTCCCACGGAGAGTCCGCGCAGCTCCAAAATTTCAAGTATCTAGTTTTTTAAAGGGAAGAACAAATTCCAATCTCTGCTTTAAGTATCCCTTTTAACACTTCCATTACATTCATTCCACCTGAAATATATATTATAGTTTGAAGCTTAAATCCGCAAATTCACATCTTATATTTCCTGTAAGAGTACATATACAAGAAAGAGGTATCGGCGGCAGGAAACAGAGAGATTACAGAGGGGATGATGGGAACCCAGAAACAGAGGAAAAGGGAAATCTGCGAATGGATGAATGAGTAATATGTGCCAAAGGCCATTACTTGATTTCGTCAGCTTTCTCTCTTTCTCTGTGAAACCCAAAAACAACGGCAGTTTTGATTTATAAGGTGTATTCCGTATATGCTCCTCCACTCATCAAAAAACCCATAGCCACCCTGTATTTCTTTTTCTTCCCCATGGAAACCATTTTTTCTTCTTTTCCTTCTCTTGATTCTCGGCTTTTGAACCCTTCTCTTCCCCTCCCTCGTCGTCCACGGTGGCCCAGAATGGATTCCTCCGTCCCCCACCACCGTACCAACCAAAGCAAGATCAAACTCATCGTCCTCGTGGGTGCTACCGGTTCTGGGAAATCCCGTCTGTCCATCGACTTAGCGAGCCATTTCCCCCACTCTCAGATCGTGAACTCGGACAAAATGCAACTTTTCAGTGGGTTAGATATAACCACCAATAAGATCCCTCTCGATGAAAGGAGAGGGGTACCGCACTTTCTTCTGGGCGAGTTCGACTCGATCGAAGCAGACGTGGCAGCGTCGCAGTTCCGTTCCGTCGCGGGTTTGACCATCGTCGACATTGCCTCGCGTGGGAACTTGCCGCTTCTCGTTGGTGGGTCCAACACTTTCATTCATGCTCTCCTTGTGGAAACCTTTGACCCCGAAGAGGACGTGTTTGCCGAGTCGGGCTCCCGGAGTCACCTGTTGAGGTATGACTGCTGTTTCCTTTGGGTCGACATGGCTTGGTCGGTACTCACTGAGTACCTATGCAAAAGAGTTGATGAAATGCTTGAGTCGGGGATGTTCGAGGAGTTGGCTCAGTTCTATGACCCAACCAAAGCGGGTGTCATGGTGGGGTTACGAAAAGCAATCGGAGTACCCGAATTCGATGCCTATTTCAGGAAGTACCCGCCGTGGGAAAGCCCGAAAAACGGCGTCGTTCCCGGGAAGGACAGTGACCCGATCCGAAGGGAAGCGTACGAGGAAGCTGTAAAGGAGATAAAAGATAACACGTGTCGATTGGCAAAGAGACAAATAGGAAAGATTCTACGGCTGAAAGAGGCGGGGTGGGACCTCGTTAGATTAGACGCAACTGCAACGTTTCAAGCATTGATGAAGAGAAAGAAAAAGCAGCAGCCGTCGTCATCATCCTCCCCGGCGGCGGTGGCGGCGGAGTTAGAATGGAGGGAGATTTGGGAAATGGAAGTGTTGGAACCAAGCGTAAAGATTGTGAAGCGATTTTTGGAGTAGGTTTTCCAACTAATTTATTCTTTGTTTCATTCCAAAAAAAAAACTCTCTACAAAAATCAAATTAGCCGAAGTGGACCAACCGGCTCAGAACCGTCGAACCAATGGTCAATGGTGAGGCTCGTGTTTGGACCATGGCTAGGGTGGGGTGAACTAAAGTTTGGCGGGAGTGGCTCTATACAGAAACAATAGTTATCAAGAAAACGAAGAAATTTTGTAGGTAAACAAATTTTGTGAGTTTTTGTTTCCTCACTGTGTGTTTTTCTTAAATATTAAAATGTTTTGCTGCTTATAAAACAGCTTAAATGTCTAATTCTTAAAATACATAAATATATCAAATAACGTAAAAATTTAGAGTAATAATATTTTGCTATTTGAAACGTCGTAAATATTTAAATGAACTTTTTAATTAATTCACAATGTATACATCTTAATACAAAGTTTTACAAATTTAAATATTTTATAAAAAATAATATTTTTTTTACTATTAAAATCGTATAATGAGTTCAAATATTTGATTTTTAAGATTATGAATCGAATATAAATATATAAAATAATTTAAGAAATGGGAGAGATATTATGGTATGTGTAGTTGAGTATGTGGAACAAGAAAAAGAAAAACAGTTGGAAATGGGAAACCCTTTGAAAGCACCGAAAACAGAATGCTACAAAAAATTGCCTCTTCTTTTGGTTTATTTTCCCCTTTTGTTTGCTTTGCGCACACGATTAGTTTTGCCATAAGGCAGTAGAATTGTATTCTAACTTTAAAATATAATTAAATGAAAAAAATATTTGAGAAAAAATTATATATACACTTATGGGTCATGTGTTTGATTCTTTTAAATGACCTACACGTGTATTTAGTTCCTACAAAATTATTATTGAGTAATATTTTTCTTTTGAAATTATATTTTCACATTTAGTTTGATATAATTTATCTCATATATAATATTTTTTTATTAACAATCATATTTTTTAATATGTACTTAGCTAACGAAATATAAGATTTCTATGAAAATATATTTTCAAAATATAATATAACTTAACACATTATTGAAATGTTATATTTTATTGTTCTATATATTTAATAAGGATGAAATATTACATTGTTTGGACGGAGAATATATGATTACCTTAAATGAAATTTTATCAAATTATCTCTGAGATATATTTGTCATAAGTTCAAACTTTTAATGTTAAATTAAAAAATATTGGTATGAGAATTCATATAACTATTCTCGTTACATCATTTAAATTTCACGAAAATTATATTTAATATATTATTAAATAATATGAAATATATTTTTTAATATTAAATTTTTTATAATGAAATTTAAATAAAATATTTATTTTTTTATTCTACTTAGATTAAAATTTAAGTTATATAGATATAATTCAAACCAAATGAATGATCTAATCTTTAGTGATGGCCTGATGGGTCAGATAAAATTAATAATATGACATTTTTAGCGATGTGTCATATAATATTAAATTTAAAAAAAATTACATTCTTAAAAATAATCTTATATTTTATGAATTTAAATTTCTCTTAATAAATTTATTTAATAATACATGATTTTATGGGTCATAATATTTTAATGTTTTTTCAACTGAATTGAGAACCGACTAATTGAATATATTAATTCGACTAGAATTTTCAATAATAGTATAGATACGAGAAGAATTATTAAAATTGTGATAAAAAAAATAAGGTATAAATACATAGATTATTAAATGTAAATTGTATTAAGATTGCTTTTTCTTTTGGATTCTACTCATGATTTCTTTTATGTTTTTTTTGGGGGGGGGGGGGTCATAACTAATTTGCCAAAACTTTCACGTCCTTTGAAAAGACAAAAAGAGTGGGTTCTTAGAAGAAGAAAAAAAAGGATGAAAATGGAATAAATTGTTCAATCAAGAATCTTTGTGAGGGACTGGAATACAAAATTGAAGTCTTTTTGGAGTATCAGCATTTACAATATCCATGGACGGCGGAAATTTTGAAATAAACCAAACTATTCAGCACATATTCAGATTCAGTGTCTTTCCATACAATAAAGTCAAGAAAGGTATAACCTTTTTATACGTTGTTCTATTCTCTCACATCCAAATTTCTATACCATAAATCACTTCTATCGCTTAGAATCTAACAAATTTAAATTAGGTAAACTACACATTTAATACTTGTACTATCATTTTTATTCTGTTTTAATACTTACACTTTTTTTTAAAATAAATATCTAATATTTAGTTTATGTTTCAATTTGATACCTCGCAATTAAAAATTTAACGGCACCAATAACGTGGAATTTACAAATTTAATACCCACCATTAAAAACTTAACGACACCGATGATGTTGAATTTAAATTAAAAAACATGTGGAATATAAAAAGGAAAAATAATTCTACGTCATCGTTGTCGCTAAGTTTTTAACGATGATGTACCAAATTGAAACATTAACTATACATTAATTTTCAAAGAAAAATAGTAACTAGACATTCAAATTATGTTCCTTTCCTACATTATTATCTATCATGGACTACAACATTAGTAACGTGAACTATCACAATAATGTCATGAACCATTACATCATTATCATGATGATCAACGATCGGTTTTGTTAATCAAATAGTTAGATTAATTTTTTTTTCTCAATTTAAAGATCATATTAAGTTCAAAATAAGTTTAAGGGCCACATTAATATTTTTTGAAAGATTTAAGGACCTCAGATATCATTAAACCAATTTATAATAATCATAGAAAAAAATTAGGAATGACAACGGGGCGGGTTTTGCTCCCCCTGTCCCCGAAATAAATCCTCGTCCCGCCTCGATCCCCGTCGGGTTTTTTATTAGGGCGTCTCGTCGGGGATTTTTTTGCCCCGTCCCAAACCCGACCCGAAATATTATACCCAAACCCGACCCAATCCCGAGAAAAACCATATTTTTCATTAAAAATATAAAAATATATATAAAAAATATTATTTATTATATATAATTAATATAAAAATATAAAATATTATATATATAATTAATATAAAAAATATAAAAAATTATATATAATTAATATAAAAAATATAAAATATTATATATATATATATATATATAATCGGGACAGGAATACCTTGCCCCGAACCCGAAAAAATCCTCGAATTTTACCCCGATAACCAACCCGACCCGAACTTTGCCGGGTTTCGGGTTTCCCCGTCGGGTTCGGGTCTTTCTACCAACCCTAGAAAAAATACTTACTTTTACATTAAAAACTTACGTTCATAAATACACTTAAAGGAAATTTAAAAGATTATGGTCCAAACTCCAAATTAGAAAACTTGGGGGATCATGGTCCCTCTGGCTTTACGATTGTTCGGCCACTGCCTGCTTCTATTTAATTAGTGTCTCTTTTTCATTAATATTTCATAAATTACTATAAATGCAATTTAGATATTTAATTTGTTGCAAATGAGATCTAAGAAAATGAAATCCAACGAAAATTCATTTATATTAATATAAGTTTATATATATATATATATATATATATATATATATATATATATATATATATATATATATATATATATATATATATATATATTTACAATTCTATATAGATTTAAAGGTAAATAAAATGTTGCGAAAAACGGCTATTTGATATAGCAAAATTGTAATTAATAATTTGAGAAAATAAAAATATGAAGATAAAAGAGACGCAAAATTTACGTGGAAAACCCCTAAATAATATAGGATAAAAACCACGGGCAACGATAGAAGAATTTCACTATGAGAAAATAGGAATTACAACCTCTCTCGATCTACCAAGGAGAAAACAATGATAATTCTCTCTTGATAAAAAGGAGAAAATAACTCTAAAGAAACTCTCTAAATTCTCTCTAGTATTGGAAGAAAGCTTGAATGTTTTGGGATGGTTTTGAAGCTAAATGAGCTAGGGTATTTATAGTTGAAACTTAAGGACTAATTTGTAAATACCCTAAATTACAATGACTAGATATGATTTTACCATAAAATAAAATAATATATTTTCTACACCTTTCGGTGCCCCCATTTAACAAAGCAATTTAATGATTTTTGGTGCCATATGCACCCATGTGCACCGTTTTTCAACAATCTCCCAGTTGAAGATTTGATTGGAACAATCATATCTTGACACCATTCTTTCTACTTTGTACCTTCATGTTGCTTATATTTCCGTCAGGCCACAAGAGGATCGACACCAAGTAAATTTATCGGCATTGATCGCCTTCGTCATGAAATCTGATATGTTGTCTTTGGTATGGATCTTTTGCATATCTACCGTCCCTTCTTCCACCTTTTCACGAATGAAATGGTATTGAACTCGTATGTGCTTTGTCCTTGAATGAAATGCTGGATTCCTTGCTGTCAACACACATTTTTCGTTCTACTAGGATTCAAACTCCTAAAAATAGGATAGAATTTTAGGATTCAAACTCCTAAAAATAGGATAACATTTTGCTAGGATTCAAACTCCTAAAAATAGGATAGAGTTCTACTATTATTTAAATTCCTAAAGATAGGATCCACAAGCACTATAAATAGCCATTGTAACTCACCATTGTAACACACGATTTAGACACAAAACATAGAGGAAAGCACGGGAAGATACAAAGGCAAAGCTATTGTAAAGGATTCGAAAAGGAAATAAAAGGTAGCATTTTCTTTTTTCTTTCTTTTGCATGTGCACGTTATTTTTCTTGAAATTTGGTTCGAATAACCCAAAACGTGGGTTGCGCCGATGACCAAAATGGGTGGGGTTTCGATGTTTCGAACTTAGATCTACCCCGAGGCTTATTTTTAAAAACCTATTTGATTTTCGGTTAAAGGAGTGGAAGAGTTTTTTAAAAATCTATATTAGTCCCTTTATTTATTATATGGATATTTTATTCATTTTTTATTATTCATGTTATTATTATATATGTATATATATTAAATTATTTTCATTTGATTTTTTTACTATATTTATTATATTATTATATATATTTCTTTAATATTTACTTATAAGTCTAATATTACTATATATATATTATAATTATCTTTATCTAGTCGTATGTATTTTTTATACTTTTAATAGTTTATTTATATACATATTATTAAATATATATATTCTTAATTATTTTTATTTGATTATTTCTTTATTTATGTAATATATCTTATAACTTTATATATTTAT